AAACTGCAAAGGACTTGTCCAAAAAGCAGTCACTGCAGGGTCAGCCATGACTGAGCGCAGAAAAAAAAAAAAAAAAAAAAGTTGTGACTATTTCGATTTTGTGTAAATATAAGAAAAACATCCTGGTGGTAAGATATGTATAACTATGGAATAGTCATTTGATGGGGGTTGTGAATTCTCCACCTCTGATGCTTTTTGAGAAGAAGGTGGATAGTCACCACTCATGTATGGTTTACTTGGCTTTCTTACACATTGCAGATGGTTTGACTAGTCAGGAATTCTTCATTTTTTCTTGCCTTGGAGAGTCTGGTGAAACCTACAGACCTCTTCTCATAAAAATATATTTAAATGCCTGAAATAAAATACATAGTTATAGCTTGTATTACAAAGGAAAGTAATCATGTTCAGATGCGGTTATCAGAATGTTTAAAAAATCACAAATATGTAATAGAGTAATATACGTGCTTCTTTATTAATCCATTAAATCAATAACAAGACAAGCTAACGTTCATTTAGAGGTTAGGGAAAACCAAGTTCTATTCTTCTGTTCCCTTCCAAGTTCAAAGACCCCCTGAAATTGATCCGGTGTAGAAGCCCTTGGGGTTGATCCAGGTTTAGAAGCCAACATGGTCCTTTCCAGCTCTGTAGTTCTATGATTCTATGATTCCTTGGAACCATCTGCTGTATCTTTTGAAGGGGGAGAAAAGTCACTGATGTAGAGCTGTCCCTAACATCAATGCCTTTTGACTTTGCCCCACATTGCCACTTAACTCCCACGAGTTACAGCAGGATCCACAACTTTGGTGGGCCAAGGGCTACACTTGACCATTAATCACAAGCCAGAGATCACCCTCCATAAAAGTGAAAAGAAATCCCAAACTTTTACAGGCTCTGTTCATGCCACTCAGTAATGCCCAGTTAGCTGAATCATGGCTTATTGAATTAAACCAAATGGCTGGACTTCATACAGTGCAGTTTAATCTAGCCTTTGGTGCAAACTCAGTCATGTACTAAGTCATTTCAGATAAAGAAAAGAGAATGGGGAGGGAGGAGGCAGGATCAGGGCAAAAACTAAATTTAACTGAATGCAAATGTAAGTTAAATCAATTAAATATTATTAATATGTCTTCATGTATTTAATAATTCCCCCTTTATCACATTTCAAGTTAGAACAGTAGGATGGGCTTTGGGAACTTGCAAGCACTTCTACATTTCTAGTTACCCAACCTGTACTTTTCGGCCCATTTCAGTTCTTGAATTCTTCTCCGCTTAAGCTGCCTCTATTATTTGCTTGTATCGAAGTTCAAACTGTAACTTTTTTGGGGTAAGGAACTCAGCTTCTCACTCTCAGTAAAGCCCCAAACACCAAAATACTCTGCTAGCTTTAACTTGTAATGTTAAAATGTCAGTTGGCCAGAAGAGGCCTTTGTCATCTTCTCTCCTGGGGCTGATCAGTTTAGCAATCAATCTTCCCAGCTCTCTAATGATCATAACTCCCATCTGCCTTGCTGAGATCCAAAGAGATCTGTTAATGAATGTTTTCCACACTCTCATTTGCCAGTTTTATGATTAGAATCAGGGAGAATTCAAAAGCATTAAGAAATGCAAAACACCTCATTTTAAGATGTGATTTGATGGTGGGGAGAAGAGCTCTGTGCAACTTCTGGGCAAGTAAATGTTGCGACAGACAGATCTGGTGGAATAAACCTAGGAGGGAAAAACAATAATTAAAGTTTTCTTCAAACAGAAACATGCATAAAAGTTGGAATCTGAATGCTAACTCTACAACATTTATGGTAAGTCTGGCTTTAGAGATTTTGGCCATCCACCCAGGAAGCGGTACTGTAATTGTTTTGTCAGTTGTCGAGTCCAAGTTACAGGAATAAAATATTTTATTTCAGTATTTTCTTCCCTTCAAAGACCAGACAAAGGCATCGAATAAGTAGAATGTGATGGAAACAGCCCTTGCCTATTTCTTCTCTCCAAAACATAGAATTCACAGGTATGCTGGGGCTAAAAGTGGAGGCTGTATTGGGCTATCATACCAATTCTTTATTCATTTGTTCCTCCATGAACTCATTCCTTCTTTTTTCATCTCTCTCTCCCCCCGCCTTCCCCCCCAAACTCCAAACATGGAGAAAACTATGAACATAATTTAGTTGACTAACTTAAGGAAACATTTTCATTTGAAGGCTAGCATCTGCATTTCTAAAATACAAACTATTTTATATATATGTGACAGTTTAACAAATGGAAGCATGGCCCTAGGAAAGAGAATCCGGCATGCTTGGAAAACGGAGAATCAGGGTGACACAGGAAAGCATTATTTTGAAAACAGACACAGGGTTATGTCTTGCAAAAGGTCCAAGAGGTTTGCATGGAGTGTTGATAAACTCAGCAAAAAAAGACCTGGAGTTGATGGGCATTTTCTCTCACATTTCTCTGAGTAGTGCTTGACCTTTTAAAAAGTCTTTATGATAGGGGGTGTTCTAGGGATGTTCCTTCAAGGACCTAGAAAGAGCTACAGAAGATATTCAGAAATGATTTATTAGAATTCTCTGTACAGAGATGAATAAATTGCAGTTTTGAGAAGTGGGGTGAGGAGCACTGGGGCTCTTTAAAAACTCCGCCAGCATCTTAGGAGGCTGGCTGGGCTGTCTCTTTAGATATCTGACCTAGATGCCACAGACTTTGTCACTTAGAACGTAAGAATGTTTATGAGGACTGGAGGTAAATGGAGACCCCACTTGCTGATGCTCAAACTTCATTGCTCCCACACTGAATTTCCAGAGAGAATCGGACCCTGGCTTTAGCTGAAAGATGCAACTTTCCTTGTCTGTGTGCCTTCCCCAAATCACATTCTTTGATCAGCTGGGTCCCAAGATGACTTAGCACACATTCACACACTCACCTACCCTGCATTTCATTCTCTACTCTTACCACATGCTCTCTCTCTCATTAACTCTCTTTTTCTTTGTCATCTCTCTTCTCTTCTCTTCTCTTCTCTTCTCTTCTCTTCTCTTCTCTTCTCTTCTCTTCTCTTCTCTTCTCTTCTCTTCTCTTCTCTTCTCTTCTCTTCTCTTCTCTCTTTTTTCTACCTTTTCCTGCCTACCTGTCTTCCTATTTAATACTGAAGTTTGAAAAACCCTCCCTTGGCATCAGTTTTTAAAGGTGAGCGCCATGGTTTCATTTGTTAAGTTATCACTCATGTATAAGATGTATTTTATTTTAGAAATTAAAAATGCTTTTTAAGGGTGACTTAACAAAGGGAGATTTAGCACAGAATAAGGAACAGTTGGACCTTTCATTTCCAAATCACTCCTATGGATCCTCCATCCATCCAATTCAACAGTGGCTAGGCTTTTGTAAAAGCTTCTGTTGAGATCCTTGGAAACCTTTTAATTCTTTTTTGTTCGATGGGAGATTTTTA